ATAATAATAATAATAATGGGCCAGTGGCAGAACAAGACAATTCCAAGTTTAAAAGTGTCTTTCTCACATGACCGGCCCGTGTGAACTAACGCCCCGCACGCCAGGCTCCGGCAGGGCAGACACGGGGAAACACAAACACGAGTGACCAACTCGCCCCTCTCCCTGTCCAGGCCCGACACTCACTGCGAGAGATGCTCACACCAGTCATCTGCCATCAGGCTCAATTAATATTTCTGATGGAGCTCTCTACAGGTGACACACACACGTGTGCCATGTATACAGTTTGTGAGAAACCGATTTTCAGTTTCTATACCCAGGCGCATTTTAGAACTGTTTTCTGGGGTGTGCTCGGGACACACCAAGTATGTCCACACACACGCACACACACATACACACACTTTGCCCACAGGCGATCTACATCATCGTCATTATCATACATAATAATAGTGACGAATGAGGTGAGCGGAGAGGCCGCCGTGTCCCGGGGTAGCTCGCTTTTCCCTCGCAGCTCGGTGATCACAGATCACAGTCCAGCCCGGGGACCTCGCGCTGCCCGCCCGGCTCCAGGCTCGAGCTCCCTGCCCCTAGACCAGGTAAGCCGCGCGCGATACCCCGCTGGTCTGGCTCTGCTCGCGGGGACCGGGCGCGCGTCTCCCGGGTCTCTCGCCCTCGCGTGCCGTCCGAACGAGCACGTGAAGGCTCAGTCGCTGAAGACACCGAATCGTAATATTCTTGGTCGATATATTCTAGCCATGTGTATAATTCGTCGCAGTTAGTGATAGATGCATTTTACACTCTAAATCACTCTGCATTTACATATTTCCACGTTATCGGTGACACGAGGGGGGTCGGTCATCACTTCTTTAACCACCTACCCTACTAGCGAGCAGCTGACGAACTATGGATTGGCTGCTCATATTGAATTTGGTCGGGGTTTTTTTTTAAGTAAGAGCGAGATGAACAGTACAGCCGCCGTGACCGAAGCTGCGCGGGCGACCTCAAAGCAACAGCTGTCTGTCTTCCTCACAGACCCGCAGATCGCGCCTGCCGGAGGGCAGCTGGCCGAGAGAGCCCGGCACGCAGGCTGGTGCAGGGGGCGACCGAGCGGAGTCCTTACCGCCGTGCGCTTCCGCCGAGCCCGCGTCCTCCTCCCACGCGCGACAGCGATCACGTCCTGCAGGGAGCCCACCGGCCCCGGCCGACGCTGGTGTAGCGGGACTTTGACATCGGCCTGGGGCTCTCGGCTCCGGTCCTCGCTTCCTCGTGTCCCTCTGGCGCCACCCCGCACACCGGGGGTCTCGAGCGCGACTGTCACTGTCCCGCGCGGGACAGAGCGCGGGGTGTGGGTGTTGACACAGCAGCTCTGTCTGGGGGGTCCTGCATGCGGGGGCACTGACAGATAACCACGCCGTGGATGGCAATGAGACCCACGGAGCCAGAGGCGCGAGGGAAGACGATTCCGACGCAGTGCTTTCCAGAAGCTCGGTTTCTAGTGATTTAAATTCTGTATTTCTATGTCATGGAAGGGACTCCGCCGCTCGCTTTACGGTTTTAAAGAAGGTGTCGTGCACATCTGCTCCGGCCACAGAGAAACAGGGTGTAAAGGCTAAAGTAACCCACGGGGGACGAAGTTATCTGCACATGTATACCGTCTCGAGTGGAGTTCATGGACAACGACTGGCAAAAAAAAAGAGCAGATCCCCAGCTCGCTTTGAATAAGTCCAGAGGCGCGTATACCGTATAATGTGAGTTTTTATCACTGTTTATCCGTCTGTTTGACGCCTTTATCCAGGGCGCTTTACAAGTGAAGGTGCAGCCAGCGACTTTAAGGCGAATAATTTAAACCACGCGGTGTATTGGGTTACAGCGCGTCAAAGGCGCCGCGCCGCGCAGCTCAGCTCAGCTCAGCTCAGCCCGGGAGCTGTTGTGCTCCGAAGCGAGGACGGTTAGCACGGAGCCGGAGGCGCTCAAGAGGCTGTGGACAGCGTGTGGCCGGGGGAGCGGGCCGGGACGGGCTCCGAGCGGCACCGAGACTCCCCGGCTTCCAGGGACGGGAGAGGCGGGCTGCTGTCTTTTCCTCTACTCCTGCGAACGTTTATTACGGAAACCCTCGTAAAATCCACAGAATTAACTTTCTAAGAAGGACCTGCCTTTCCCCGCAGCCTCCCCTTCCGATCCCAACTAAACACTAACAGCGCGTTAGGCAAGACCCGCAGCTGTAACTAATTTAATCAAACCTGTATTTATATTCCGGCATGGAGAGACACAGGAATACCGGGGCTTTATTAAATATTAAGAGAGCAGGTTTGGTAATTATGAGCGCCGGCTTCTGCCTCCCCTCTCTGGCGGGGTACGAGAAACCTTCCCTATAAACTTAGTCTCATAAATTATTAAAAGCCAATGACATCTGTCTATCAAGAATGCGGTTTATTATTAACTAATTGTACCTGACAGTGCACTTGTTTTATTTATACAAGACATCTAATAAAAGAGTCATGGGCGAGGGAGATTCGCCGAATTACTCATTAACACGGCGTCCTTACAGCTCTTACAGAGGTGACGGTGAACTTTTGCAAAGGCTTTTCAGAATGGTTATGTGGGTCCCCCTGATGCAGGCTCTTGCGAGGCTGGCCAGGTAAAGCAGGACAGAAACCGAGAGCGGTTTTGCAATCGCGGCAACGTCAGAGCGGGAGAAAAGGTTGGATCCAGGTCAAAGAATAATTACAGCGTCGATCTTCCCCTATTGAGAATCCCAGACAGGCCGCAATTATTCGACCATGTGGTGCCTTTATCTGTAATAAATGCCTGAACGTTTTGCAGTCCCTCTCGCAGTCTCCCAGCGATCAGCCCGATTCAGACCTTACGAGCCCGGATAGAAATAGGCAAGAGACACTCCTGCTGGCTGCACGGCTCAGGCGGGAGGGGGGACACGGGCACTTATTCTCAGAAAATCGAACAAATGAGATTTTGTTTTGTTGTTCCTGTTTTTGTGTGTGTGTGTGTATTTGAGCTCAGAAACGCAGCATAAGCTGCCGGTCTCCTGATGTTCGGGGTTTTCGCGTGCTCTTGCGTGTGAGCGCATAGGTGCCGCCTGAGTACTTTGGTTTGAAAAAGGCTGCGTCCGTTCGTGCATGTGTGAAGCAAAAAGTATTAATTCAGTCTGAGGGACCGAGCCTGCAATGAATTGCTCAACGTAACTAATAATTATAACCGCTTCCTCTCTCTCTCTCTCTTTCTCGCTCTCTCTCTCTCTCCAGCCTGCACACTCGGTCTCTCCTCCCTCTCTCCCTCCCTCTGCCTCTCTCTCCCTCTCCCTCTCTCGCCCGGGAGCCCTCTGTCAGTCCACGCTCGGGGCACAGGAGACAGATTGAAAGTGACAACAGTCCGGTCCCGGCTGCTGCCCTCGGTTCCCCGACAGCGACGGCGCGCCTGCCCGAGCCCTGTCCGGTGCGTGCCGCGCTGTGCCCGTGCCCGAGCCCGAGCCGGCGGCTCTGTCATTGGCTGCCTCCGTTTCCTCCTTCGCTCCTCCGGCTCTGATGTGTTGATTGTGTCTCCTATTGTTCCCGGTAAAGGTGAGAGTCCAAGAAGAAGAAGAAGAAGAAGAAGAAGAGGAAGAGGAAGACGGCCCTCGTCCCCCGGGCCGTTTCCAAAGACAGCCCAATAAAGTGAAAGAGCAGGAGCGCGGAGCGACCGACACCGGCCGGCCGGACCCCTGTCAGGCTGCGCGCTCACGGCGGTGTGTGTGTGTGTTCCCGAGGCGTCCCGGAGCCGCGCCAGCCCGAGCGACACTCGTGCACACTGTCTCTCTCTCTCGCTCACACACCCGCTGACACGCGCACTGCACGGAGAAGCAGCGTCGAGCTCGGGAGCCCAGCAGATCCGCCACAACCTCACCAGAACCCCAGCCCTGGATTCAATACTGCTGATCAATGGACAGAGCCTTCTCCCCAACCAGCCGAGGTACAGACACACCATAAGCAGTAAGTAAGAAGGAGACCTTTTTTTTTTAATGCGGATTTTTTCCTAACATCTGCGCATCTATTTCCCCCACTTATTTTCCCGGGTCTTTCTGTGTTGGTTAACGCTAATATTATTTTTGGTGATCGTTCACTCTTCCACTTGTTCGCTGGACGCCCTGGCACTCAGTCATGAAAACAGAGAAATCCCAGAAACATGTTTCCGACTTTATTGATCGGGATAAATAATGCATAGAGGGAATTCAGAAGAGGTTGTATTCAGTCGCTTGCAATCCTTAATACCCAAAATAGATCATAATTGTATTATTAATACTATTATTATTATTAACGAATTCATTACATTTCGACTGCAAGCGAAATAAAACGGTAAACCTGTGAACCTGGCAGTCGGGAACTTTTCTACTGAAATACCGGTGGGCTATTACACATTTTAGTCATACATTTAGTATACATTTAGTAACAGCTTGCCCTGCTGTTAAAACTTTTACAATTTAAGATTAACTAAAGGCTACAGAATGAAAAATCCCTTTTTTTTTCCTGAACTGAGAATTGGTCAAGATAGATCGAGATAAATGTTCTGTAATCTTCCTCTCATTTTATATCGGACTGCATATTTGGCGTTCAGCGCATATGTGTATCTCCACAGAGAACCTGTTGGAATTTAACAATTTAAGTTTTCGGATCTTTAAACGGATTCCTAATTAATTAATCTATTACTCCCTCAATGTAGTTGTTTTTATTAGTGACTTACTGTACACAGCCCGTTCGGAGTAAACAGAAGTCTCTCACTGCAGCGAGGCCGGAAGGCTCCGGGGAGAGAGCACTCGGTCAGGGCTGGATTTCTGGTGTCCCCCGCTTTCCCAGTTCTAGGGTTCCCCTTTCCGGATACGGTTCGCTTGTTTTTCAGCTACTGCACCTACAACAAGACACCACAGTCTCGCCGATTATACTGCGGCGCAGTAGGCAGTCAGTAAGCGCGCCATCCATCAAAACATTTGACCTGCTGCCTCCCAGTACAGCGCTGTAAAGCTAAATCTAAAATAACTAATTTTACCAGACCAATCCATCGCGCATCCCCGCGATTCGGTCATTGGCGCTAATAGTCTGCACTTGCGGCTTTCAACGAAATTAGTAATGTTCTCGAAATCGGCTGCATATCCGAAAACGGCCAGGGATCTACCTGCCGATGGCCTGTGAGCGCCCGGGTCCCGTCCAGCCCTGCCCGGGCCTCGCCGCTGCTCATGGCCGGGAGGATACGCGTTCCGTACGGGTAGGGGCGGCGAGAGAAACCGGGAACGGCGACCCAGAGCTGCCGGCCGGATTCGGGTTCGAAGGCAGAGGGGAAAAAAGAGATAGAGATAGAGATTAGAGATAGAATCGCACACTGGACTTGGACTTTCTAAATCACACGCACACGCCTGTAGCTCCGGAGTTTGTGTTCCGAAGAATTGTGAGAAGAATTTCGAATCTTAGGGTTTCTTCATAAGAAAGACATTTTCTGTCAGATTTACACCCCTGAGGCACAGGCTTATACAGACAGGAGTTCTGTAGCATTTCGCAGCGTTACAGGGGTCAGGACATTCATGACCACCTCTGCTCCTTTAGGCCGTAACCAGGTTTTATTTCGGAATACTGTATTTTCACTCGAGGTGTGTTCTCATGAGCGTTTTCTCCAGCGTCGTGCGGCGGCGGCTAGCGGGCCCCCGGCCTTCTTCGGCACCGGCGAGCCCGGGTGAGATTACTGGCACAGGGACCGAGCTGGGCTTTGTCGGCCGACCGCGACAGCCGATGGGAAATGGTTGTGTTTCAGAAAACGGGGAACACGCGGACGCTGTTCAGCTCTGTAGCCCACGACTCAGCACAGTCCCCCCAGAAAGCGAACTGCTCGCAGTGCTCAGTTCTGGTATTTTACTACCTTCAACAGCCAGGTTAGACTGATCCCTTGCAGAATGTAGACGGAATATCGGAATCACTAATGAATATAAATATGGAAATTCTTATTAGCACTAATTAGAACTAAACAGGCTTCCTATTTCTAACCTGTTACACGTCTAACCTTAAACCTTAAGTATTAAGCGTTACAGTATTATATTTCTGTATAAATTCGCACACGACATATTATTATTATTATTATTATTATTATTATTATTATTATTATTATTATTATTATTATTATTACCGACACCTGGACAAGCGGAGAACTGCGTAACAACCTGAGAACTGAATCATGGATTATTATTATCAACTGGAAACGGGTTGTGAAAACGCGACAGAAGAGCTGAAACTCGATTTTATGAGCGTGCTCGTGAAAATCTTGGTTTCGCTTTTCTGCTAAACAACGAAATGACTGTGAGGGTAGGGAAAAAAAAACATGTGGGATTTGTCGGGCAGACAACAATGCCGGACGCGTATTTGTCAAGTTCAGAGAACGGGTTTTCGGCTCTGAAGTGGAAGCGCCGGACTGCGTGTGTTCACGCGTGCTGGCGGCGGGGCTGCGCGGGTCCAGTCGCGCGTGGCGGACCCCGTGGGGTGTCCCCGAGCCCAGGCTCCGAGCGCCAGTGCGCTCTGGGGGTGCTGTCGGCCTGTAGCCCCGACTTTCCAACTCCAGGTTCGTCGTGACTCAAGGGACAATAACGATGCCTTGGAATAAGCATCGTTAGCAGGAAACTATTACAGTGTTTATAGCACACCCAGGAGAATGGAAAGCGCTTTGTAGAGGAGAACTTCCAACACACCCCTTACGGGTTCAGATAAAATACCCGACAAGTTTTCCAATATCAAATTCAACACGGGTGGAATCGAATGCGTGTGAATGCGCGCCGTCAAACATTTTAAGGTTTTGTAAGCAGGATTGTTGTAAGGTGGGTGTTTTTACAATGCAGTGCGCTCACCAGTGCCGGGAGTCCGAACACGCGTGTGACCCTGTCTACAAAAACGCGTGGACAGGTCACAGCAAGCTCGACAGACCGGATCTCCTGTAGTCACCGGGCTTTTCTTACAGTTAGAAATGAACTTTCCGAATCGGTGGTGAATTTTCTTCAATGGTTTATTAACTTATTAATAAATATAAGTAATTACTTATTGGTTTTCGAAAGATACAGAGCGCGGATCACTGGCGGCCTGCTGCGCCGAGACGACCGGTCACCAAAACGAATCTTCTTCTTCTGACGCTATTTTCCGTTAAAACAAATAATAACACAATATCGCCTGTAAGGTAATAATGCGTCCTCAACAAAGACGTTTTTAAAAAAAATAAAAATATACTCTATCACATTTATCACATTTCTAATTTTTGACGGAAAAATAATCCGTATTTGAAGTTCGATAAATCAAAACCACAGTGTCACAGGCACCAGTTGTTTATATGAAGTCATTATAATTTTGACCTCCGCTCACAAAGCAAACTTTTCTTTTCTTTAGGCGTCAGTTCACCAGCTCTCGTGCGACGACAGATTTCCAGTAAATGTTACTTAGGTTTTTTTTAGTCTCAAGAATTAAAACTCTTAAAAATTCAACTTAATTCCGCTTGATGAAATCCAAAAATAAATTCAACATGATGTTTATATTCGTGCGTGGGAACAGGGAGATCCGGAATAGGATTGGAATCACCGGCACAGTTGTGTTTGTGATTCCGTGTGTTTGTACTTGACACTAGAATCGCCCCTTTCAACGGAACGCTAGGACTGTAACAACAACAAAAACAAAAAAAAAATTAAAATTAAAACAGCGACCACTTGTTCCCTCGGATAGAACGAACATGACATTAAAAATGCCATGAGTGTTTGTGGGCAGTGGCTGATGTACTTTGCAATATACCGAAGTACGGAGCCGCCCCCCGGCTCCTGCAAACTGAACCCGTCTGTGGATTCGCGCAGCTCCAGAGATACAGGAATCGCAGCCCAGCACAGATCTACCGCTGCGGCGCTTTAAATGAGCCGCACATACCGTACAGATCTCGGTACAGTACTCACCATTTTAAGAGAGACTTTAGTATTGTGTAGAATTGCTGGGGCTTTTGTCAGCACTTCAAGAGCACTTATAGGCATTTCATTTTGCTCGGTGAATCTTCAGTTGAAAATAATGAGGAGGATTTGTTGGTTTTTTTTTCCGAAAATGAGATTTCAAGCCGGCGCTATAAGAACCCCTCCAGTCCAAAATCTGCTCCTCATTTTCTGAATAAATAAAAAAAAAAGTTGTTCAAGCTGAAAGGTGCAAATCCAGACAGAGTGTAGCAGCGGGAAAGAGAAATGACATAATGATTTCTCTTCACTCGAATGCAGTTTGGGAAAAATGATCTGGAGTTACATTTGGAGTAGGAGGAGGTTTGGTAAATTCTGGCCTGGAGGAAAGTCTTCAGATGTTTTCCTGTTAGTGTGCAACTAATACGAAATCTGCCAAATGAACATTTCCATAAAACAGAAATCCGTTTTATTAAAAAAAAAAATAACGCGTTTGCCTCAGTAAGTGTTTTGCCATGTCTGAATGAAATAAATGAACCCTGAGAAAGTGCATGTGAGCAGAGTGCCAGCAGCTGAAGCTAGAGAGTGAGATTTGGCTCTGGCTCCTTTTGCATTCTT